TTGGGGATTAAGGTGCTATGAATGCTCATGCAAGTCTTTGTGTGGACATACGTTTTCAGTTATCTTAAGTAAATATCTAGGAGTGGAATAACTATATCATGTGGTAAATATGTTTAACTTTTTTTTTTAAAGATTTATTTATTCATATGGAACTGGGGTACAGGCCAGAGATGCGGAGGGTGAGAGAATTCACCAGGGACAGAGTGGGGAGTAGGACAGACAGATCGACAAAGTACACTGCTGAGGGAAGCAGCAGGTGGGTCAGGAGAGGTCTGCTGCGCCACGTGGTCACCTCCCGGGCAGGCTGGAATCAAACTCATGCAGAAGTGGCTTAAGCTTCTTAGTGTTGGGCTTTAACCCACTGCGCCATCAGGGAGGGCCAAATATTTTTAACTTTTTAACTAAACTGGGTGATATACTTATTTGTAAAATATAAAATTTATAACTTCTAGAAGAAACCAAGGAAATCTTGGCTAGGACACCAAAACATGACTTATAAGAAAAAAATGATAAATTGAACTTTGTTAAAAATGAGAATCATGCACTTTGTAAAACACTCTTATGATAATGAAAAGGCAAGCCCAAACTGGCAGAAAACCTGTCGAATCACATATCTGATGAAGCACTTTCATCTAGATTGTATAAAGAATTCTCAAACCTCAACAATAGGAAAACAAACAACCCAATTTATAAATAAGCAAGTCTTGAATAGACATGATAAATGGGTACTGAATAAGCATATAATAAGATTCTCAACATCATTAATAATTAGTGAAATGCAAATTAAGACACAATGAGATACTACTATAGGTCTATTAAAAGGCTTAAGGTTTAAAAGATTGAGAATACCAATCACTGTCAAGGATATTGAATAACTAGAGCTCTGTAAACTGATAGGACTATAAAATAATACTAGGCCCTCTCTGGTGGTGCAAGGGGTCAAAAGGCAGCACTATGAAGATATCGGCAGCCATTGCAGCAGCAGTTCAATCCCTGGCCAGGGAGGGGACCCACATGGTGCAGCAGACCTCTCCTGTCCTGCCTGCTGCTCCCCTCAGCAGTGATTTCAGAAGATCTGCTCCACACTCTGTCTCTGGTGAATCCTCTCACACACATATACCCCACCCCACCCCCACCTCTGGTCTGTATCCCAGTTCTTGTATGCATAAATAAATAAATAAATAAAGTTCCTAATTAATTTAGGATACAGATATATAAATCACTGAAAAAAAATAATAAATAATATCACCACAGTGTAAAAGGGCGTCAGTTTCTTTCATTGTATAAAATTTTTATTTTGAAATAAAAGTTACAGAAGTGTTCAAAAGAATTTTCATGTACTCTTCAAATTGGTTTATTACCATTTCTTTAATTTGTGAATCATTTAGGAACTAATTCCATATGTAATCCCTTTTATCCTTTAAGATAGAAATTTCTTAGTAACAAGGGCATTTGTCTACATGCCACAGCCATTAAGATCAGGAATTAATAACAATACTACCCTCTTCAAATCATGCTGTTTTATGTCCTTTATAGATCCTGCATCTGTTCAGATCTTAATTTTAGGCAAACAGAGAATTTTGAGCTGGGTATTTACATTTTTAAAAAAGATTTTAATTTTTTATGCATACAGAAATGGGATACAGGCCAGAGATGCAGGGGCAGGAGAGGATTCACCAGATACAGAGTAGCAGAACAGGCAGATTGCCCAGGTACACTGTTAAGGGAGCAGCAGTCCAGACAGCAGAGGAGGTGCTGCGCGATGTGGATCACCTCCAGGGTGGGGATCAAATTTGCACTGAAGTGGTTATGGCTTGGCCTAGCTTTGCATTGCAGCACTCCAACTCACTGCGCCACCAGGGAGGGCCCGGGTATTTACTTTTTTAAGGTGTAAGGATGATATTATATTGTTTGTAAAATATCCTCATCTATAAAAAGATACATAGTTACATATTTATAGGAAAAAATGATTTATGATAAAATATGAGTCACTGTAACAGAAAGACCCCCTAACTTCACATTCAGTAAGCCAGGCAGGGATCATAATTCTCTCTATGGGAATGTAGCTCGAAAAGATACCTGAGTGAGGGGCCTCCCTGGTGGTGCAGGGTTAAAGAGCAGTATCAAACTATTGCTAGCCACTACACCATGAGTTCCAAACCAGGCTGGCACATGGTGCAGCAGATCTCTTCAGCTGGCACATAGTGCAGCAGACCTCTTCATTCTTCCCTGCTGCTCCCTTCAGCAGCATATTTTAGTACATCTGCTTGTTCTGCTCCTCACTGTCTCTGGTGTTCTCTCAAGCCCTCTACCCCGCTCTATAGCCTATACCCCACCTCTTGTGCACATAAATAAATAAATACATATTTAAATAATATATTAAAAGATACTTGAGTGGAAAAACATACTTCTGTTGAAACTGCAGAGGGGTACTGGAGTCCCTAAGGTGGGAATGTAGGGAACACGCACCCTATGTTAAACCTATAGTTAAGGAGATGAGGTTTAAAAAACAAAAACAAGCCCTGCCTGGTGGCGCAGCAGGTTAGGACGAGCACTGCAAGCTGGCCGCATCAGCTTCAGTGAGTTTGATCCCCAGCCTCAGAGGTGATCCGCACGGCGTGGCAAACCTCTCCTAACCGGCCTGCTGCTCCCCTCAGCAGTGTACTTTGTTCATCTGTCTGTTCTGCTCCCCAGTCTGTCTCTGGTAAAGCCTCTCACCGCCCCCGGAACCTCTGGCTTGTACCCAGTTCTGTATGAATAAATAATTAAAAACAAACAAACAAAAAAAAAAACAACAGAAAACCTGGGCGGTAGGGGTTCGGGGATAGGGAAATAGTAGTTCCAATTTTTACTCCTGGGAAGGTTCAAAGTGAAACTATAAATAACTTGAAAACCCATCAAAATCTGTCCTTTAAGAGTTTTGTTTTATTATCCTTGCCTGGGTAAAGAAGTCAGAGCAGGTTGTGCTAATAAAACTTACTTGTGATAACCATATCATTAGGTGCTATCATTCCATCCTAACTGATCGGCGCTCGCACGTTTTCCAGTGTGAGTTAAGCCATCTCCGCGGTTAGTTATTCGCTCCAGCTCCACGTTCGACAACAAACTGAACCAGAGCACGGACTGGGATCCCCTCCACAGGTGCAGAATGCAGCCGGACCCACGAGCAAGCTTACCCCTACTCCAGTTCCTGCGTGGAGCCCCGCCCACAGATCCGCCTTGGCGTGGAGCCCCGCCCACAGATCCGCCTCGGCATGGAGCCCCGCCCACAGATCCGCCTGGGCGTGCAGCCCCGCCCCACGGGCTGGTCCCTGCCGCGCAGCGGGCCTAGGGTCCTCGGCCACTGCAAGGCCGCCTTTCTTGGGTCATTCTGGCGGTATGGCTGGGGGCCGTGGGGCCCTCGGGCGCAGCCGAGACGAGCCATCAGAGAGCTACCCGCAGCGACAGGACCACGAGCTGCAGGCGCTGGAGGCCATCTACGGCGCCGACTTTCAGGACCTGCGGCCCGACGCCTATGAACCGGTAGGAACGTGGCTCGTCGCTCCCCGAGTGGCGCGCTGCGGCCCAGCCTCCCTTCCGCCCGACCTCTCCTGGCTGGCCCAGTTGCAGACGAGCCGTTGATCCCCTTTAATATTCTGCTATCCTTTCATGCCTCCGGTTCTACCCAAGCGCAGTTTTTGACCTTGCATTCGCAGCTTCTCCACGGATCTCCAGAATTACAGCTGGACACAATTCTACACGCAGTCTTATGCCCAAGTCGGCTCCTACCACTCTCTTGGCACTGCTTCTCATTCCCATTGATATGATAACCTTCTTTCCTCCTTCTGATCTTACCCCCTTTTCCCTATTGAAAGACTGTGAGCTTGATACAAGGGCGCATTTGGTAACACCCTTGGCAACTTTGTTCTAGGTGAGCTTACACGGACTTTTCTGACGCCCTCAATCAGAATTTTCTACACCCTCCCTTGTGTTCAGAGCTATAAACTACATAATCCTCACTGACCAGTGAGGTAGCTGCACCGTTTTTCAATACGGAAAAAATTTCCTTTTGTACCTTCCTCTCCAGCACTTAGCAAAGTTTATGGAATACATTCCTCTTGACTGTAATGGAAAGGGAGTGTCTTGAGCCTAGACCTTTTTAAATAGCGGTTGGTTTAAAATATTTTCATTTGTGCTAGGAAATTAAGGCACACGATAAGCAGTTGGTAGTGAAAGTTTTCCCCACCCTGGCAGACTTGATCCATTAAGCTATTATCTCTGAATGTTATTTACAAGATAATGCCTTCCTTCTTCTGCCTTTAAGTTTGGTATTTCACAGCAGCCTTATTTACACATCCACCACTTCCTCAATAAGTAGGGTCTTCTGGTCAGCAGGGTAAAACATTCTCTCACTCTCACTCAATGTGCTTCTTCTTTCGTTAAATATTTATTGTTTTAGGTTTGGGGACTACAGGCCTGGGAAAAAATCAGTCCAAAAATATTCCAAACAGTTAATTTTAACATGAAACAGTAAAAATATAAATACTCCTTTATACATACTTAGGACAGTAACATAACTGTCTGGTCATCTAATAACTACTTTGTTTCTAAACATTGAGGATCAGAAATTAGATTCAGTAAGAAACCATAATGGTTAGCAAATTGTGCACCTGAACTCACCATAAAGCCCCTAAAACTTCATTCAGAGACAATTTATTTATTTTATACAGGTGTAGTTATCTAGCCTTATGCTACAGAAAGAGAAAATAAACTATTATAGGTAGGGATAACAGTAATCCCAGAATTTACAACTGGCGAACTGTATGACAATATAAAAGACTAAATTAAACAAAACAAAAACTATGAAAAACAGATAGAACATTAAAATAAGTGCCTGCAGCTTATGGTGCACAGGTCAATAGCTTCAACACTTTCTTAGGCCCTACAGTCAAATAATACATGGTTATAAAGATGAGTCCCTGTAGTCATTAAACAGGTGCTTATTACTATCAGCTATTTACCAGTCAGGGAAAGGTTATGCAGCTCCACAATCCTCTATCCATGATCCTTGAGACCTGATGGGTTTCAGAATTGGGAAGTGTTTTCTGAATTCTGATATAGATCACATACATGTGTGCAAATTCCACCCCTTACCTAACTTTCCCTCTGGAGTCTGGGCACCATCCCCAGTGAAACACTAATGAATGTGTAAATGTTCAAATAGTCACACTAAACTGGATAATTAAAGACTATTAATAGCCATGTGTCAGTTCAAGCTAAATTTGCTGCCAGTAAATTCAGGTCGAAATTTGTTGATCTGAATAAACTTTAGTTTTTTAAAACTTTTGGTGGGATGTGTTATCTAATATATTGTGTTTCAGTTTAGGAGCATATGTTTCTCATTTATGAACAACTAAGCATTTGGGGAGTGCATACTAAACTTATTTTACATGTTAAGAAAACTTTGTACACTACTAGTTTAAAATATAATTTACTATTAATCTTGGTTAATTTTCCATGTCAGGGAAGGGTCATTTATAATTTAATAGCTGTTGCAAACTTCTTTGCTTTAAAAACTTGCTTCTGTCTCTGAGTTCACCGGTCATGTATGAATGTGTTTGTTTTCCTACTTCTTCACCAATATTGTATATGTCAGGCTTTTTCATCTTTACAAATAGAGATATGAAACATTATTATTTCTTTAGTTCTAAATTGCGTAGACCACGTTTACAAATATGTCATTTTCTATGAACTGTTTCTTGTGTTCTTTGGTTCAGTCTTTTCCACTCAGTTGTATATATTTTCATATTCATTTGTCAGAGCTCTTTATATCTTAGCAAATTAGCATTTTGGATCATATATTACAAATGTTTTTTTTCATAGTTAACCATGTATATTTTGATATTTATCCAGTATTTTACTTTTTTTTCTTTGAATCTTTATTTTCAATTAATCAGGCACAAATTCATTGTCACTTACACTTTTTAAAGCACATTTGACCTTGTTTATTTTATTTAAAGTTTTATTTATTTATAGAGTAGGAGAACTGGGGTATAGGCCAGAGGTGCAGAGGGGTGAGACAATTTACCAGAGACAAGTGTCAGCCGAACAGGAAAATTACTGCGAAGGGGAGGCAGCGTAGGAGACATCTGCTGCACCATGCGTGGGCTAGCTCATGGATGGGATTGAACTCAGGCCTTAGAAGTGATAGAGCTGAACTTAACCGCTAGGACACCAGGGAGGCTGTTTATTTTATTTTGATTTTTTTTTAATTTATTGAAATTTTGATTTATAAAATGGGTTCACGTTTACAAATTTATAAGTCAAGGTGTGTCTATACTACATTTTACTCACAAGTAAAGTCACTTGACTTTTTCTTTTTTTTGCATTCTGGTCCTGAGACTTTTTTTTTTTAATAGAAAAAACATCCCTACTCCAATGTTACCAAAAAAATATTCTTTGATGTTTTCTTTAATTCTTTTGCGATTTTGTTTTTAACCCGTCATATAAAATACCCTTTTAAAAAAGGCCTTAGCTCCATCTAAGTATGAATATAGTCTGCCTTCTCCCACCCACCACTAGCCAGATAGAATAACATCACTAATTTGTTTCTTTTCCACTACTAATTTGAAATGCCACCTTTACATTATGTGTGTCTATGTGCTTGGTGTCCCAGTCCATGCATTTGTTCACACCTACATGCCCAGTGCTTCGTGAAAGTGCTGAAATTTATTATTGAATGAGGTAATTCCTAAATGTCTGGGTCTGTTTATTGGCATTGTTCTACCCCATTAGTTTATTTAACCATTACTGCCATAGTGCTTTAAGTATTATGCATTTATAACAAGCTTTAGTGTTTAACAGTTACCTTTTTTTTTTTAATTCATTTATTTATGCAACCTAACTGGGGTACAAGCTAGAGGTGCAGAGGTGGTGAGAGGATTCACCAGAGACAGAATGGGGAGCAGAACAGGCCTACTGATGAAGTACACTGCTGAGGGGAGCAGCAGGCTTGTCAGGAGAGGTCTGCCATGCCATGTGGTCACCTCCAGGGCAGGCAGGAATTGAACTCATGCTGAAGTGGCTTTAGCTTCTTAGTGCTGTGCTTTAACCTGCTGCACCACCAGGGAGAGCCCGAGTTACCATTTATTTTACAGAATTTTCCTGACTAGCTTTACTTTAGTCTTCCCATATGAACTATTTAAAATGACTTGCCTTGTTCAGAAAATTATGCTAACCCTTTTATTACATATATTTAGTTTGGGGAGAAGTCAGATTCTCAATATTTTAATGTTGGTTTAAAATGGAGCTATAGGTTATTAAACCTTAAGGAATATAGCACTTAAAAAAATTCTTACCAGTTTGGTAACCAGACAAATAATTAAGAACAGAAGATGAATGAACTTGGTGATTTTTATAAGTTAGTTACAAAAACGTTTTGTTTTTAGAAGAAGATATTAGAAGAAACCAGTGATTAAGACATCTGGCACGAAATTTAGAAAAATGGTATCTAATTTCCATTTTCTGAGACTTTACTGTCATTTTTATTTTTGACATCTTCACAGACTTGAAACCCAACACCTGTCCAAGTTACTAATTTTGCACATGTTACTTTATTTCTAGTTTTGCTATGTTTTCACATAGACTAGTTTCTTCCCCACATTGTAGAATAGCAGGAGCTCTGAAGCAGGTGAGAAAACAGAGGCGCAGGTGAGAAAACAGAGGCCCCGGTGAGCAAAGCCTTGCCATTAAAATTTAAGGACAATATGATGAGTAGAATCCTACATAACAATTCTGGAGAAACACCTTAAGTTGGTTCGAATTGTGTAATTTTCTTTTAAAGATTTATTTATTTATGCATATAGAACTGGAGTACAGGCCAGAGGTGCAGGAATCGGAAGGATTCATCAGAGACAGAGTGGGGAGCAGAACAAGTAGACTGACTGAAATACCCTGCTGAGGGGAGCAGTGGGAAGACCGGAGAGGTCTGCTGTACCATGTAGATCAGCTCCCTGGCCAGGGATTGAACTCTGCTGAAGCCGCTGCAGCTAACTTTGTAGTGCTGCATTTTAACCCATTGCACCATCAGGGATGGCCCAGACTTATGTAATTTTCTTTTCCATATAATTGTAAAAAAAAAAAAAAGCATAAAATATACCATCTTTATAATTTTTTAAAAATATATTTATTTATTTATGCTTACAGGACTGGGGTACAGGCCAGAGGTACTGGGGTGGTGAGAGGATTCACCAGAGACAGAGTGGGGAGCAGAACAGGCAGATTGATGAAGTACACTGCTGAGGGGAGCGGCAGATGAGTCAGGAGAGGTCTGCTGTGCCATGTGCATGTGGGTCAGCTCCATGCCAGGGATCAAACTCGTGCTGTAGTGGCTTCGGAGAGCTTCATAATGCGGTGCTTTAATCCCTTGTGTCACCAGGGAGACCCTTCTTTACAATTTTTTTTTTTAAGATTTATTTACTTGTACATACAGAACTGGGATACAGGCCAGAGGCTTAGGGGCAGTGAGAGTCTTCACTAGAGAC